CGCCGCCTTCGCCTCCAGCAACCCCAAACCCGTCCCCAAGCGCAGGCACTGCGGTCCTGGTGGAATTGCTGCTTGCGAATGTGATCACGTATTTCACCCTTTTTGCTTACTTTGCTCTCAGAAGCGATGTAAATCCTCTACGGGCCTTCCTCTGCCGAAAGTTAGATGCAATTTGATGCCCGCCCCTGAGGATCTGACTGCTTGGGGGGAAAAAAAAAATAAAATTGGAAAAAAACCCCAGTGCTGCGCGGGTGTGCAAGGTGTGCAAATAAATGCCATCAGCTGGAGGCTTTATACCGCAAAAGAGCAGAAGGGGTCCTGTCAAACACTACCTGAGGTAGTGCCACCTCAATTTTCCCCCTTACTCTGACAGCAGCCGTTTCTTCGCCTGCTTCTCTGTCCCACCGACAATGTCAAACTTGTCCAATTTATTTCATCGCTTACTGACATGCCAGCTCATCTCTGCTTGAAACCCTGGTCGTCCCTTCTCCCTCCCTCAGCTTTGTCTTATTGACAAGACCAAAACACCTTTCATCAGCTCAAACAGGGCAGTAACAAATAAAATAGACGTGGCAGAACAGAAGGCGGCTTTGCTAAAAGCAAGGGGTTGGAGGTGGGAATCAGTAGGAAGTCAGGGACTAGAGAAACAGGTGAAAATACTTTTGGGAAGAAAGGGATGCTACATTTTCTGGCTGAGCTACGTCCTCCTCCCTGGATTCGTGGCAAAGAAGGGGAAACCTGTGAAATTTTGCCTTCCCTCTCACCCTTCTACTATAGTGTGTAAATGTGACCTGCTCTTATTTTGCTGAGAAAAAAAATAGGAGATTTTGGAGCACCTGACAGTCTTGGGACCTCACCAAATCTCTGCTCTAATAATATATGCAAGCATAGTTCTTGGGTGTAGGACGAAAGAAAAAGCTGAGCAGCGTTCTGAACTTCTGCATAGCCTTGGCTGTGCAAACTGTGGGGAATATCTTACATTTTTTCACCCGGTGGACTAAAGGTGTATTGATGAGGGATCCATTCCTGCCACCTGCGCTTAGGCTAATAGTTGGTAACTGATTATTTTACTAAAAACTGCAAGGTAAGCTTGTGCAAACAGCTGGCACATCTTGGCTACATATCTCACAGAGTTTTGCATCTCAGGCTTACACTATTAATCATACAGTAAATGTAGACTAAACAGTATAGCATAATTCTGACCAGTTTGATTGGGGGGAAAAATACCTTTCAGTTCATGAAGTCAATCTGCTGCTTTGCAAAAGGGCTCGCACTGAGAAATTCTTTGGGATGTTGTGGGATGCAAGCAGACACAAAAGGCTCAGTCACCTGCTGGCAGACCACTCTTGTTTCTCGCTTAGGAAATCACACCTAAGGATGTCACTGATGGTTGTTAACAGGGACAGAGGTAGGGATGAAAACCTACAGTGAAGCGGGTCTGATTTTTTTTAAAAAATAAAGATAATTTTACGAAGTGCCATCGAAACCAAAGGCATTACCAGCTAGACTGTCTCTTTAGGCAGACTTGAATTTGAGATGCATTAAGCTATGCGCAACACCTGATGGCAAGAAAGTGACATTTCTTTTCTACCCCTGCTTTCCTTAGGGAATGTACGAATGGGGAAGTAGAGTTAGTAACTCAGGTTTGGCTTTCCCCTCAGTGGCAAACAGTGGTGGTTTCTCAGTGAGCCCCCTGGGCACTGGCAATTTCTTGGTTAGCGTGTTCCCGGGTCAAGCCAAGGAGCCCCCAGGTGCACGGTGCTCGCTGCGGGTGCCACCCATGGTCTGGGCAGTCTGTGTGGGGACACGCACGTTTTCCATAGCATAGAAGTCCAAGTCAGCAGTTAACTGTAGAACGTTCATATATCCATCCATGCCTACTGAGTTTGGCTTGGCCTGTTTAGGGAAGGCAGCAAAATGTGATTTTGATGCCAGTGGTGAAATTCTTACTGACGTCAGCCGGGGAATGATTTGCTCTTCTCTATGGCTGCAGTCAGAAATGATTGGCAGCCTCCAAGGAGCTGTGTTTTCTCAAACATTACACAGAAAGGAAATGTTATGTATAACTGAGTTTTAATTGTTTCTTGAGTTAATTTCAGCATGAATAGGTTACACAGTCATTTCAGAGAAATGCTATTACTTCTGTTCTGTTAGAGTGGTATTTTTGCTTGCCTTGTGGTGCAAACTTTCCCGAAAAAAAGTTTCTGAAAGACAGACCTCAGTAATTAGTTCTCTGCTATTAAGGAGGGGCATAAACCTGTAAGAATCTAGTAACTGTTTAAAGGAAACACTTTCCATTAAGGAAAAGCTGGAAGATTATTAATAATAATAAGATATTATGCTAATAACAGCCTGGATGGTGCTGTTCCATGTAGAATTCCCATAGGTATTAATGGAAGTTTTGTGCTAAATCAGCAGTAGTTTTAGGTAGTGGATTGTAAAAAGGGATATGCTGCCCAGCAGGATCTTAATCCTTCTGCATTTACTTAGGCAAACTTTGTCTTTGAAATGCTTTTGAAATCTGTCCCA